AATATTTAATTATTTATTTAAAAATATATAATTATTTATTTCTTTTATTTATATACATAATAAAATAATTATATATCTATATTTATACATATGGAGTTGAATATAAAAAATTCCATTTAAGAGTAAGAAATGAAATTTGTACAATTTAATTTTTTTACAAAAATTTTTAAAAAGATAAAAATAAAGTAATAATCTTTTTATCTTTAAAATTTTCATTTTAAAAAAATGTACAATATTAATAGTACAATAATATACTAAATAATTATTTTAAATAACTATTATCTTAAAATTATAAATAATAAATATTTTTTGAAAATAATAAAATTTTAAAATCAAGTTTTATGAACAACATTGGTCCAACCAACATTTCACCTGTCCAACAACAAATCCAACCATCAAACCAAAAACAAAAAAAAACAAAACAAAACAAAACAAAAACATAGAACAAACAAATAGACAAACTCAAACAGCTTAAATAACAAAGTACTATATCACAAAAACTACCGATTTAATATAACAATTGCATCAAAAGTGTTACAAAAAAAAAAAAAAAAAAAAAAAAAATTACATTCCACATTCATGCAATATCTGAAACAAAATCCTACAGACACACTTTCATACTTTCACTTTCATACACACACATACAACACAACAGTTTTTCTTTTTGAAAATAAAAAAATTTAAAAATCCACTTTTAACTTTTGTCTAACAACAAATCCAAACATCAAATCGAAAAAACCAAAAAAAAAAAAAAAAAAAAAAAAAAAAAAAAAAAAGTAACAAATAACAAAACAAAAACAACAACAAAAAAACATAGAACGAAGAAATAAACTCAAAAAGCTAAACAGAAACACAAATTTTTCAATATTTCAGCAATACTTACTGCAATATTTCACCGCCATATTTCACCGCAATAATTCGGCATATGTCATAAAATATCATAAAACATCATAAAATTAAAACTCCAGCCTCCTCGAAGAAATAGGCGTGCATCTTAAAGTTGATTGTAGCAATATTTACGAGCAGCATGCTACTACTTCTTCCTCGATGGGATTACAAAGCACAATGATGATAATTTTTTAATTTATGAATTACGAATTATCATCATTATGCCCATGCTACTACTTCTTCCTCGATGGGATTACAAAGAAACCTTCCAAAATCACGATCCACGATGAACCCGTGTTGTTAATGCACGATGTAATTCTTCTGAAATTCTGATTGCAAAGCACAATGATGATAATTCGTAATTCATAAATTCGACAAAACACCAATGTTCGAAACACACAGAATACATTGCTCTTACTCAAAACACGAAGCCTTCCCCGATGTAATTGCCTTTTCAGTGTCTATATGGTTGCATTACAGTATAAAGTTCATAAATCTGTGGGGGAGAAAATCAGTGTGAAACACCATGAAAAACACCCTGTAGAACTCTCCGATCAACTGTAAACCGGGTTGTGAACTCCACAAACCCTGTAGAACTCCCCCATCAACTGTAAAACGGGTTGTGAACTCCACAAAACATGAAAATGAAGGCCCATCCGTGCGGTGAAGGAGAGCCACCACTTGTCTCCTTGAGCGATCAGATATATATATATATATATAGATACATATAATATATAGATACAGATATATATAGATACACATAATTCCTAAGGGACACGTATACACGAGGCATGCAGTGTGGCATTATCATGGGGAAGCTGGGGAAGAAGAGGAGTGGGCGGTGAAGAAGGCGAGGAGGAGGTCGGTAACGCGAGAGTGCTGCTCCTGATGAATGAAATGTGCCCTCTTCACGTACTCTACACCCTTCAAATTCGGCACATACTCCTTCATATGCTTGTCCACAAATTCTTTGCATACCTGGGAACTGAAGCACCGCATCTTGATCTCCCACTATATAAAGAGCGTCGCTCTTCAGCCTTGCGTTAGTCCACGGCGCTTTCAGCTCGTGGGACTTCGTTAAGTTTCGGTAATAGTTGAGACCCCCTGTCCACCCAGACTTCTCCATCTGCTCCGTGTGGTACTGGATGTCGAATTCGGAGATCTACGACGGTTGCTCCAACGTGGGAAGCGCTTCCAGTAACTCTTTGCCCTCCGGCGCCCACATAATCCTTCGGAAATTTAAGTGGAGCATCTTCTCCAGGGACTCTCGCGTTCCTGTTCGCTCGAAGTCTCTCTCCGCGCGACCGGGCTCCTGAAATCTGTGCACGGCGTCGGCGCGAACACCGTCAGAGGATGGGGAGAGAATTAGGAGTGCGCCACGACACAAGAGTCGAGGCAGGAGTGCGTGGAGATAGGGCAGAGTGAATTACCTTGCAATATAAACTCCCTCACCAAGAGCTTTGACGAGTGACTCGAGCAAGCTATCGCTAGGAGAGCGGGGCAGAAACGGGACGTTGGAAGCAGACCATGCGAGTGCCTGAAGTCCTTTGCGCACCCGTCTCGACAATCCTTTTATCTCTGGTTTGTCCGTCCGTCATGTGCACTGTTTCTGGCTTTGTCATAGTGCGTAAAATAGGTCGAATGTGAATTATTATCCATAGATAATACTTTTCTGATATTTGTTTGTTATCATTCTCCAACCAACGTCGAGATGAGGGCCAAACAATTCAACACCCAATCCGTTCAGAGTAGGCAGGTGCGTGATGTCTGGAGGCGACTGCAAAATGCCAACATGATGCATTGTGAGTCATCTCTTTACAGGGATGCCGCTCTTGTTGTGGGAGGATGAATGTCATCCGTTAGACCTAAAAAGTAAAGACTGTACATTGTATTTCTTTAACTAAAATAAAATAAAGAACTTGTAATCACATTGGATTACATAAATAATCAATAAATGAAGATGAACAAAATAATTATGTAATATATTTCATCCTACGTCAGATTTTTATTTATATTATTTCGCTGTGTAGCCTTATTTTAAATTAAACTAATTAAAATAAAATATAAACTAGAAATGTTAGACAACAACCATATTTCTTTCAAAATATCAAAAGTAATTTTAAAAAATGATTTTGTGTATAAGACCCCCGATATTTGTACTAATATACCTTGCTTGAATTATAACCTCAATGGGTGGAGATTTTGTAAGTATGCAAGAAACATCAGTTAATGAATATAAGTTTACAACTTTAGAAGGACCATTTTTTTTAGCAAATATTATAAGGCAAAAAAGGAATAGTAATTAAGAGGTATTAGAAAATCAAGGTAAATTTATAAATTAAAAAATATAAATAAAAGTATGCTTTTTCAATAAACATTATTTCTATTCGTTCTTTAAAATATTTAATAATTACTTACATGTTAGTATTTTGATTTAACTTTTCTATAATTATGATTTTCAAAACATTACATTTTGCATCAAAATTGAATCCTTACCAACTTTTTTTTTGACATGTTATATATTACATATTATACAAATAGTAATTTTACTTTAAAACCTCAAAAGAATTTTAAAAGTATATATATATATATATATATATATATATATATATATACATAAAATATTTTGAATCTTAATTATAATCTTTTTCTTATAATAAAGATAAAACATGGCTTATTTACTCCAATAAAAATTAAATAGAAACTAAAATATTTGAACTAAAAGTAAATAAATTGTAATTTAAATAATAAAATTTAATATACCAAGAAATAAAATAAAAAATTATTTATGTATAAATAAATATAATCATATACTTAATTATTAGATATTATTTTGTAAGAATTAGATAATTAATTTGAATCAAGTATAAGAAATTGTGCATTTATGAAATTAATTTAAAATATTGAATATTTTTTAACTCATATTTAAAGCTTAAGAACTAATTATAATTAGTTATATTATAATATATTATCAAAGCTTGGATAAACTACGAACACAAAATTTAGAAAAAAATTATTTTATTATGTAATTTATATTTTTATATTTTTCCATAAAATTAAGAATAAAAATAATCCTTCTGAGCAATAAATGTTTTTAAAGAAAATCTTACCATTACTTTATGATTATGATTAGGTTTTTGTGGTATTAGTTGTGGTAATAAACATGCAAAAATATGCCTAACTTATCAAATTGTTTTCTATTTAATAGTACTTCTTTTTTACACTATCTTTATTTATTCAAGAACTAATTACAAATTTTCTAATATAAAGCAACTATGTCTTTAAATTTCCAAGTTTTTAAAATATTGGAGCATATTTTTTAAATAAAAAAACAAAATATAATTATAGTATGTAAGAAGTACTTATCAAACTAAAAACAATATTTATTGCTAAAAATAGATCGTATTAATCTAAATAAGACATTTATAACTTTATATTCACAATTAAATAAGATATTTATAACTTTATATGCACAAAGCATATATCCATCGTTTGGAGCAGAGAACCTAGAGGGATTTGAAACATTTCAACAGCAGTTCCACATTCTCAAGCCAGATTCTATTCTTCATTTCTTCTATCTTGGACAACAATTATTATTATTATTATTTTATTATTTTATTTTATGATCTATTTATTTTTATCTATTTATTATCCGTGGCAACGGCACTGGTTCAACAAGAGGGGATGGTTGACGTTGCAAATCTATACTGGCACAAGGAGGACGGAGAAGAATCATAAAACCGACTTCCTGTAGACACATCGCTCTTCTTTCGGTCGTCAGGGCAGCGAAGATGTACACAAGAGAGATGGCCAGATCAACTCTGCAGTATGCTACCTAATCAGCCGAATCCAAATTGTTCATCATTTATCAAAATCTACATGATGAGTCCAACACGCACCAACAAACTTGATTCATCAGATCACAGAGTGTCTTAATAATTGTGCAACAGCAAGTCGTTGCCACAACAGTCTAAATACTCGCATCATGATATGCATACCTGGGTTTCGTTGGAGGATAGAGAACTGGGCACTGTTGACCCGGGTTTCTCGGATCCGGGTATGTTATGATGTCCGCAGGGTCTTGGGTATAATAGAGGTATAAGGGTCGTCACTTTAATCTTCTTGTCCTTCGGCTGTGGAGCTGTTTTGACAGCAGGGTTGTGATTTGCGAGATCGTTTGTTGGTTTTCTGCTACAGTCACAATGATCCTGTGCGTTCTCTTCACCAACCGCGCGGGAAACGTGTTGCTGGAGCGCTTCCATGGCTTGCCAGCTGAAGAGCGCCTTCACTGGCGGTCATTTCTGGTGAAGCTAACCGCAGAGAACCTCAAAACCGCGCGCGATGATGAGGTGTTCGTTGCCTCTCACAAGTCTGTGTTTATTGTATATACCGTCATCGGCGACATCTGTATTTTCGCCGTTGGAAAGGAGGTGTACGATGAGCTTGCTCTTATGGAAGTTCTAAATGCCGTTACGTCTAGTGTCAAGGAAGTTTGCCGGAAGGATCCGAGCGAGCGCTTGTTCCTAGAGAAGTATGGGAAGGTTTGCTTGTGCTTGGATGAAATCATTTCGCAAGGAGCTTTGGAGCACACCGACAAGGATCGGATTCGGAGACTGACAAGGTTGAAGCCACTGGCTGAGTGAGGATTGTAAGTTGGATTATATTTTAGCTTTGTCGAGTTATGGGATGGTACAATCTATAGTTCTTGATGTGGTCGGAGGAAGGTGTTGACAGCATTCTGTTTCTCATTATCTGCCGTTCTGGAGCCTCAATTGAGATCTCCTCACCTTGGCATTCACTTTACTAAGTGTGACATATTGACTTAGGGTTACTGGTGCTTTTCAAGTCTCCAATGCAGTGATTCAAGAGTTAGGGTTCTCATCTTCCTCGATGTTGTATTTGGAATCTTCCCGTCTTTTAGTAAAGAACATGTGCCTTTGTGGAAAATTGAGCCGAACGGGAAACTTAGGACTCTGTGGAGTTTTACCTTGTATTAAAACACTTATTTAGACTCAGCCAGCATTTTGTTTGTGCTCCATTTTGTATGGGTGGAGCTCATTTTTAGTCGAAAGTAACACAGTAAATTTTTTGATTATGCTCATGCGGACTTACACTGAAATCTGATTTTAGTGCCAATACCACGGAGCTACCTTACATGAACTTAGCATGCCTTGAAACCTGTTGTGTACCGCATCTGGTGTAGGCTAAAGATCAGTAGAACTGGAGATGATCCTTGCCAATAGTGTCTTGGTCATTGTTTATCTGTACAAATGCATATGGTAAACTACATGCTCTGTTCTATTTTCGATTTTTGCTTGCGCTTGTTCATGAATTGACTAGAGTATGTACGATGGTACAGCCCTGGTTTTGCTTATGCAAGCGTATCACCTTATTATTAGAAATTACTTTGTTGAGTTATGAATAGGAATGGCAAAGCATGTTACAATAAGGCTCTACATATATGTAGATTTGGTTAGTTGCTTTGTGCTTATTCAAGTTCTAGTTCACGAATGCAAAATGCTCTTCACTTCATGTAACAACACCTGGTATACCGATTTGCTTTTCATTTTTTCAAAGAAGCATAATGGAGGTTTTACAATACTCCTGTCTATGAACTAAAGTAGTAGTGAGTGTGGAGTTCATTTTTTCCCTTGCTCTTTCACATTGTGGACATGTACAGTTTACAGTGATATTTTATGTGAGTAACATAATGTTACTCACAACTTTTTCAGAACAGATTTTCAGAACAGTTTGTCGATGAAAATTGATAGGTATTCCTTGATACGAAGGAATAAAACGACAAATCAGTATGTGACAAAAACAAAGGTTCGAATTATGACCATGTTATGTTTATAAGATGCATTACTGATGCCTGCAATGTTAATTAAAACTAGGGATTTTATTATGTGTAAGAGACCTGAAAAGCCAACAAAGATGGCTGAGGTTGTATACTGATTCAGGCTATTATTTATGGCATAAAGCACACGGTTTTGAAAATAATCAATTGCTTTGCATAAAAATGTAGACATACACACAAGCCAAACCATGATTTAGTACAATACAAAACATAGTATACATCTGATTTGCATTATTTATGCATTTATAATTTTAAACCTTTAAGTTTATTTCCATTAAGCAATTGTAATTTTTTTTTAATACAAATCATTTTCGTGTTTTAATATATATATATATATATATTTATATATATATATTCCTTAAACTACTTGTGTTGAAAAACCTTTAAGTTGGTAATATTATGAGATAAAATCTAAAGGTTTTGTAATAAAAAATTAATTTTATTACATAAATTTTTTATATCAATTTTAAAGTTTTACTGTTTTGGTAATTTAAAGATAATAGATACATATATTTATTAATATAATTTAAAGTTTTTGAATTATTTATTGTATTTTGAAATAGACAAAAAATATTTTTAGAAATATTTTAATAATAAAATAATAAAATAAATAAAATTTGATGATTTAATTTATTTAATTAAAATTATCCAAAATAAATGATCTTTTTATAATCTATCTATCTATATATCTAATTAAATTATGAAAAAACTTATAATTCTATTATATTTCTATATAATACCTACATTACATGAATTTATTTTATGAAAATATAATATATTTTTTTATAATATCAAAGTATTATAGGTTAATTGTCAAAGTTATGAACTGAAAGAAGATACATAAACTTGGGAAAGCTTTGTCAAAAGAAAAGTGATAAAATAGGAATAAGGAAGTATGTATATTAAAAAGAAACTAAAATGGCTATTGCTAAATGACAGAAACTAGAAACTCTTGAATCTAGACTAAAAATAAGAAAGGAATTGACAAGAGTGAAGAAGAATTCACTCATGCCTTTATGTATACTATTTACTTAGGATCTATGTAGCGATGTTCTATAGGACTTCTAAAAACATGTTGAATTTGTATGACACGTATCTTGACTTAGAAGACAAGTTTTCTATATGGGCACCACATAGTTAGCATGTTCCACAAGCTATCAACACATGTGGGACATGGATAGTTTATTAATCAAGTTTTTAATCTACCAATCAACTAGAAATATATGTAAAATCAAAAAAATGTCTAAGAAGTTGCTAAAAAGTTGCTAAGAAGCTTCTTAAGATGATATTATGAAATTAATCTATTTTTATTTAATTCTACCTATTCATATTATTTAGGTAGCAATTACAGTAGGTATATATCTGTGACATTATTCCTCCTTTCTAGAGACAAGTTTCATGAAGAACGGTGATTATATATTGATGAAGTCTAAAATACAACAAATTATATTTGCCATATATTATGATTTTTGTTTTCTTTAAAGGTAGTTGATAGGTCCTCTTAGCGATTGATAATGTCCCATTTTAGGGTGAAAAGACCATCCTATGATTTGATCATTGTTAAAACCTTTGTAACTTTTTTCAAACAAAACATTTGTAATACCATCAAAAGTTGTGTCTACCTCTAATAAAATCACCAAACATCAAGAATCTTTTTCCAAGTCGTGATATCAAATGCGTTATATCTCGCCATCTATTTGAGAAAAAACATGTCATTTTTGAAGGTCTCTAGCTCTATTACATCATCTTGAAGGCTGTGATAATCACAATATTTTAACCAATAAGTCAACAAATGATGGCACTTGAGTTGAATCCATCGATTGTGGTTCTCTATCTCTCTTTAACGCCACAATTATATAGAAGCTACAAATAAAGGTAGAATATAATTTTTTCTGAATTGTATTTCTTTCATAGCAAAAGTTTGCTATCCTTCATTTTGATTTTCACGGATGTCATTGATAAAAAGCCTCCACCAACTTTTTTGCATTTGCAAGATTCTTTGCTAGCTCCTAGGTACATTTATTAATATCATATCTATATCAATAGACAAGATATTCCAACTTATTTCAGTGCCACCTTAAGTCTAAAACTTCTTCTACTTCAAACTCTTTATTATTGTTCATTTCTATAGGAAGAGGTGGAACTTGTCTTCTTTTTGGTATATTCATACTTTTATATGATTAAAAAAAAAAACACATGGAATAGAGGATGGATTTTCATTGACTCCAGTAGATATAATCGATAAGCAACTGGATTGATTTGTTTACAAATAAAAAAAGATCTAAGCCTGTGGTAGTCCAACTTGTTACAAGGACAAGTAGTCTTGATATTATAATGAAGTAACCATACCTTATCAATTACATTGAATTGTAGTTGTTCCTTTTGATAGGCATCCAAGTTCATCTTTTGTCATTCTTGAGCTTCCTTTAATTGCACCTTCATTGTTGTATGTAGCTCTGATAAACAATTTGCGAAATCTTCTATCATAGGATTATCAATTTTTGAAAAGTCAAAAGTATCAAGTCACGGATGATAACCATAATTGATAAAGAAAGGTATTTGTTGCATAGAAAAATACATTGTATTATTATAAGTAAACTTGGACAATGGCAAGAGGCTTTTTCAATCTTCTTGTTGATAATTGATGGTACACCTTAAGTATTGCTCAAAAAATTGATTTACGTATTGTGTCTATCCATCAATTTGAGGATGAAAGGTCAAAGAATGCTTTATGTCTACTTTTAGAATCTTAAAAAGAATTTTTCAAAAACTTGATATGAATTGAATCTCCTTATCCGATATAATATCTTTTGGCAATCTATGATATCGATAGATATTGACAAGGAAAAGTTTGGCAATTTTTTTATTTGTGATAGATTTTGTGCATGGTACAAACTATGCCATTTTGGTAAAATAATATACTATCAAAAATATAGAATCACACAAACTTGAGATTAAAAGATCTTCATTAAAATCCATAAAAATAGAAGACTATAGTGTCACGGACACAAAAATACAAACTCGAGATCTAACAAGAAGTTTAAGAAGAACTGAAAAGAACTAGATTAATCAGATGAATACAAGAACAATACTAGAGAGGTGAGCTAGAGCTCCAAGAGATATGTTGTCGAGACTGAAGAACTCTTCAGCCTCGATTCCAATATATACTTCTATTTAGGAAGCTTCTCAAGTAACTTCTACCAACTAGGAAGCTTCTAGAAGGTTTTAGAGGCTTGCTTCTAGAAGGTTCTAGAGGCTTGCTTCTAGAAGGTTCTAGAAACTTATCTCTAGAAGGTTCTAAAGACTATATCCCTAACATCTTCTACCAACTAGGAAGCTTCTAGAAGGTTCTAGAGACTTGCTTCTGGAAGGTTCTAGAGACTTGCTTCTAGAAGGTTCTAGAAACTTGTCTCTAGAAGGTTCTTAAGACTATGTCTCTAACATCACCCCCTCCTTTAGCTTCGAGGTCTCTGAGAAGCAATGTTGTTGTTAATCAGTACCAACGCAAGAAAATGAAGATCTGTCGCATAACATCTGCTATGAACTCCAACTGTTGTTCACGAGGCAAGTGGTTCATTGGCCCTTGAAGCCAATGGTAGTGGCCCACGTCTTTAACTTCTAACCAAGCATAAACTTTCGTGTCCTCATTGTGAAATTGTCCTGCAAACACACCTTCTGGCTGACCATTGTAAGCATGCTCGATTTCAAATACAATCACCAATGATCGGTTACTCAGTATCCTCCGTCATCGTCGTGGTGTAAGTAGTTCTTCATCTCGGGATTGCCTTCGTGAGCTAGTTGGTTGAGATAATATGACTGGCATAGTATCTATCTCTTGGCTATCCATATCAGAAGACCAAACTATGGCTACTGAAAAAATTCTACTTTATCTTGGAGAAAAAAACTACATTAACTATAGATTTTGGTGGTGCTCTCTCCCTTTCTTATATTCTTAGGTGAGCAAGCTTCAAAAGGAAGCTATCGTCGAACTGGCTTAGGTTTATGAAGATGTTGTTGATGAAATTCCTGTACCTTTTGTGGCACATTGGCGAGATTTTCAGTTGGCTCCCACGTGCACTCATTAATGTCGTAGCCGTACCAATGAACAAGATACTCCAACTTGTCCCACCTTCGCTGTGAATCCAACACCTTTTCAACCTCGTATTCCTCGTGGTTCTCGATCTCAATACTAGGTGGCGGATATTGCACTCTTCCAAGAAAAGACTACTCTCGATAAGGCTC